GTACTGAATGGGGTCTAGAATGATGTGTGGTAAGTTTCGGGAAAATCGGTTCAGATTTCGATATAGCTCTCACATATACATATATATTCGTCCGATTTTACATAAATGGTGCACCAAACTCCTAATGTTTGTCCGATTAACACGAAATTTTACACAACGTATCACATTGAGACTTGTCCCAAAGTACGCAGACGACTCTTAATCTGCCCGAATAAAATGATATTTAGCGTAGGTTGTAGAAAGACATGAGTATGTTACTTCGAGGAAACATTGGCATGCAATTGTAGGGATACATATGTACACTATAACCAAAGTGGTGAAGGGTATTATATAGTCGACCCAGTCCGACTTTACTACGTTCCTTACTGGTTTTTAGATCCACTTTTTGCCATTACCCTTGAAAAAATATTTTTTAAATCCACTTTTTGTTAGGGCCCTAAATTTTTTTTAAATCCACTTTTTGTTAGGGCCCTTGAAATTTTTTTTAATAATCGACGCCTTACTATGGGCCTTGAACAAATTTTCTTTTTAAAAATTAGCACCTTGTTATGACCCATAATTTTTTTTTATAAAACCGCGCCTTGTTATGGCCTTATTTTTTTGTAAAGTTACCCCTTGCTTGGCCCTTGAAAAAATATTTTTTTTTTTTTTTAAATCAGCTCCTTGTTATGGCCTTTAATTTTTTTTAAATCCGCGCTTTGCTTGGCCCTTGAAAAAATATTTTTTTTTTAAATCAGCTCCTTGTTATGGCCTTTAATTTTTTTTTAAATCCGCCCCTTGCTTGGCCCTTGAAAACATATTTTTTGTTTTTAAATCCACGCCTTGCTGCCTCACTTTTTGCTATGGCCCTTGATTTTTTTTAATAATCCTCGCCTTACTATGGGCCTTGAAAAAATATTTTTTTTGAAAATCGGCGCCTTGTTATGGCCCTTTTTTTTTTAAATCCGCGCCTTGTTATGGCCCTTATTTTTTTAAAAGCCACGCCTTGCTTGGCCCTTGAAAAAATATTTTTTTTTAAATCCATGCCTTGTTTGGCTCTTGAAAAAATATTTTTTTAAAAATCCACGAAATTTTTTTTTTCTCCGGACCTATTCATATGTGTAAATTTCAAATAATTTCTTCCCTGCCCCCAAAAAATCCCGCAACCATTATGTGAAATAACTTATCAAAAAAAAAAAACCTATGTTCAGTTTATTTTTCTTCATTTCCATTTCAGTTCACTAAATTGATTTCTAAAATGTTTTCTTTTAATACAGCCATTATCTATTTTTCATCTCCTACTACAGAAAAAACACATATTTGTCTCCAAAAGAAGAAGAAGAAAAAGAAAAATAGGAAAGACACAAACCTGCTGCAAAAAAAGACCCGAATTCTTGTAGACAGACAGTCTGGAAACACTGAGGCGAGAAAAAAAACCGAGATTTTTTGTGAATGGAACTTAGAATTGGCATAGAAATGCGACAAAATCGCCCCCCTACCTCCAAGAGCGAGAGGAAAACGATTCCGACGACGATTACGGCATTTAGGACACATTGGAATGATGATTGAGTTGTTCAGTTCAGTTCTGGTTTTTTTCTTCGTTTTGCACTGATGCAAATAGTTCTTTCAGTGTGTTAGTGAATATGTATGTGTGTGTGTGTGTTTGTCGAAAAAAGGAAACATTTCATATCCGTTGTAGTGTGGCGAAAAACAACACAGATGTTTTTTATTCCATCTTTCATTCTTCTTTCTCTTCCGTTTTTTCGGATTTTTTTTCATGTTTATACCCTCCGTCATAGTATGGAGGGTATATTAGTTTGGTTTTTCCGTTTGTAACGCATCGAAATAATCCGACCTATAAAGTATATATATTCTTGATCAGCGTAAAATTCTATGACGATCTAAGCATGTCCGTCTGTCTGCTGTAATCTCTCTAGCGTCTAAACGAATTGAGATAGAACACCAAAATTTTGCATAGAGTCGTCTTTTGTCTGTAGGCAGGTCAAGTTCGAAGATGGGCTATATCGGTCCACGTTTAGGCATAGCTCCCATATAAGGGTAGCAGTATTTTAGGATTCCTTTTTCCAACGAATTCGCTGAAATTTGGTAAAGTGGGTTATATGTGCTATATCGGTCCACGTTTAGGCCTAGCTCCCATATAAGGGTACCCCCAACTTTGCAGTATTTTAGGGTTCTTGAGCGCGTTTTTCCAACGAATTCGCTGAAATTTAGTAAAGTGGGTTTTTTTTGAATACCAAATTTCTCCACTAAAAATTATTAATATAGGTCCAGTTTTTCTGGTAGCCCCCATATAACGGTACCTCCCAATTTTTAGTTTTTGGGGGGTTTTGACCGGATTTTTTCACCGAATTGGCTGAAATTTGGTACACTGGGTTCTTATTGGGTACTTAATGTCTCCACAAAATATTATAAATATAGGTCCATTTATGTCGGGTAGCCCTCATATAGGGGTACCCCCAATTTTCGGTATTTTGGCGTTCTTGAGTCCGTTTTGCATCCCAATTCGCTGAAATTTGGTACTTTGAGTTGTTATTGCGTAGCAAATCTCTCTACTAAAAATTATAAATATAGGTCAATTTTTTCGGGTAGCTCCCATATAACGGTACCCTCCAATTTTCGGTATTTTGGGGTTCTTGAGCACGGTTTTCACCCGAATCTGCTATAATTTGGTATTTTGTAGTCGTATATGGTAACAAATCTTCCTACCAAAAATTATTAATATTAACCCCCTTTTAGGGGTAGGCCCCTTATAACCCCCTTTTTATACCCTTCACCACTCTGTGGTACAGGGTATTATGTATTTGTGCATATGTTTGTAACAGGCAAAAATAATCGAGATAGACCCATGGTTCCTTTTGATAATACGCATAGAAACACTTTCTGAGTCGATTTATGCATGTCCGTCCGTCTGTCCGTCTGTTCATGTTAAATTGTAAACAAAGTACAGGTCGCATTTATGATCCGAATTGGATGAAATTTGGCATAGGCCACTTATTCGGCCCAAGGACGAACCCTATTGAAAATGGGAAAAATCGGTTCAGATTTAGATATAGCTCCCATATATATTTTCGTCCGATTTAAGGTAAATGGTGGACCAAAGTCCCTATATATCATTCAATTTGCACGAAATTTGGCATAGCGTAATGAATTATGTCTAGAATGATGTGCGTTAAGTTTCCTGGAAATCGGTCCAGACTTAGATATAGCTCCCATATATATTTTCGTCCGATTTAAGGTAAATGGTGCGCCAAAGTCCCTAAATATCTTTCGATTTGCACGAAATTTGGCATAGAGTACTGAATTAGGTCCAGGATGGCGTGTGTTAAGTTTCGAGAAAATCGATTCAGATTTAGAAATAGTTCCCGTATATAGCTTCGTCCGATTTTAGGTAAATGGTTCACCAAAGTCCCTATATATATTTCGATTTGCACGAAATTTGGCACAGTGTACTGAATTCAGCCTAGACTGATGAGTGCTAAGTTTAGTGAAAATCGATTCAGATATAGCGCCCATATATAGCTTTGTCCGATTTTATGTACATGGTGCATTAAAGTCCTTATATTTCTTTCGATTTGCACGAAATTTGGCATAGAGTACTGGATTAGATCCAGAATGATGTGTGCTAAGTTTCGTATAAATCGGTTCAGACTTAGATATAGCTCCCATATATATTTTCATCCGATTTAAGGTAATTGGTGCACCAAAGACCCTATATATTATGTGATTTGCACGCAATTTGGCACAGCGTAATTAATTAGATCTAGAATGATGTCTGCCAAGTTTCGTGAAAATCGGTCCTGATTTAGATATAGCTCCCATATATATTTTCGTCCGATTTAAGGTAAATGGTGCGCCAAAGTCCCTGAATATCTTTCGATCTGCACGAAAGTTGGGACAGCATAATTAATTAGGTCTAGAACGATGTATGTTAAGTTTCCTGATAATCGGTTCAGATTTAGATATAGCTCCCATATATATTTTCGTCCGATTTAAGGTAAATGGTGCACCAAAGTCCCTATATATCATTCGATTTGCACGAAATTTGTCATAGCGTACTGAATTAAGGCTAGAATGACGTGTGCTAAGTTTCGTGAAAATTTGTTCAGATTTAGATATAGCTCCCATATATATGTTCGTCCGATTTTATGTAATTAATGCACCAAAGTCCCTATATATCTTTCGATTTGTACGAATTTTGGTATAGGGCACTAAATGAAGTCTTGAATGATGTTGCTAAGCTTCGTGAAAAGATCCATAGCTAGGCCGGTTGACACAACGTACTGATGTAATATAAATTATTCTCTGGCAAGTTCCCCTGAAATCGGTTCAGATATATTCTACATATGTTAGGATACATATGTAGAATATATCCAAATTGGTGAAGGGTATCATATAGTCGGCCCAGTCCGACTTTACTACTTTCCTTACTGGTTCTTTTTTTTTTTTTTTTTTTTTTTGTAGAGGGTCTTCTTGTCTCGTTGTTGTGGCTTAGCTGTTTCCGTTTTTTCGGCCCCCCCGCTGAAGCCCCTGCTATGGATTTTTAATACCTCATGTGGTTTGTAGTATTTAAGTCTATAACAGACAGGACAATAAAAGAGGAAGAAGAAGTATGAAAGACTACGAAATTCACACACACACTCACACACATACAAAAATTATACAAAAGTGCCATAGACTTTGTGGGGTCGACCTACAAAACTATACACACACGCTCACACAAACACACACTAATGTATTTTTTTTTTAAGCCATATTTTTGTGTGAGTGAGTGTGTGTGTCTGATGGACAGATTTGTTTTCTTCCTTGACCCCTCTGCTTTAGGTGCAACAGAAAAGTGGGTGTGTGTATTTAGACAACAACGCCAACAAAAACGCTTCTTTACAAATTTTAGTTTCTGTTTCTTTAAAAAAGTTCAGTTCAGTCTTTGTTGTTGCTTTAAAACAACAAAAATAAAACAAAAAACATCTGAAAAAAAATGTTCATCCATTATTTGCACTTACATCGTATTTATTTGGCCTCATTGTACCCATTTATTTTGCATGTAATTTGGATTCGCATTCGGCTACGGTTTGCAGTGGCTACCAGCAGACAACAACATTTGTAAAAAAAACTACAAAAACAAAAAACAACAACACAACAAAATCAAATTCGATACTATTTTTTGGCTTTGCAAATATTCGATATTCAATATCCGACGACAACGACCGCAATGAGTAATAACGATGACGTTAACGACAACGACGACTAGTCAGACGGACTAGAACAAACGAACACAATGGCCGAGGGGGACACGTTATCCTTTTTCTTTTGCCGAAAACCGCCGAAACGTTTCCGATTTTTCTGGTGATTTTTTTTGTAAGGCCTCTTTTGACGCAATGCCGAAGATGGTTGGACGTCAGTGCGTTTTGGGTTCACTCAAGTTTTTTTTTTTTTGCTTTTTTGGGGGGTTTAAATGTTTTGTTGCTGGCCGCCTGCTGCTCCTGCTGTTTCCTTGATGGCTCCTTGGTATTGGTTTTGAATTTAATTTCTTATTTTTTAGGACGTTTTCCGTTCTCCAACTCTTTGTTCCGTTTTCGTTTAATTTATGTTTTGTTGTTTTGTGCAAGCAAAGCTGTTGTAAAGCCCTTCAATGCCGAATATCTAAAAATAGAAAGACAAGAAAAAAAAAATTAGATTTGACTTGTATTTCGAAAATGTTTTTTTTTTTTCTAACTTAAAAAATGACAACCAAGAAATGAGGAAGGATTTAAAAAAAAAAATTTTAAAAATCATGGCCTACAACAAATTAAAACCAGTAAGGTTTTAATTACGATTTCGTCCAACTCGAAAGATGTTTAGGGACTTTGGTACACCATTTACCTTAAATCGGGCGAAAATATGTATAGGAGCTATATCTAAATCAGAACCGATTTTCACGAAATTCAGCACACATCATTCCAGACTTAACTCAGTACGCTATGCGAAATTTCGTACAAATCGAATGATATGTAGGGACTTTGGTGCACCATTTACATAAAATCGGACAAAAATATATATGGGAGCTATATCGGAATCTGAACCGATTTTCACGAAACTTGGCACACGTCATTCTAGACTCAATTCAGTCCGATGTGCGAAATTTCGTGAAAATCGAAAGATATTTAGGGACTTTGGCACACCATTTACCTTAAATCGGACGAAAATATATATGGGAGCTATATCAAAATCTGAACCGATTTTCAGTAAAATTTACACACATCATTCTAGACCCAATTCAGTACGCTATGCCAAATTTCGTACAAATCTAAAGATATATAGGGATTTTGGCGCACCATTTACATAAAATCGGACGAAAATATATATTGAAGCTATTTCTAAATCTGAACCGATTTTCACGAAACTTAGCACACGTCATTCTAGCCTTAATCCAGTAGGCTATGACAAATTTCGGGCAAATCGAAAGATTTTCAGATATTTTGGTGCACCATTTACCTAAAATCGGGCGAAATATATATAAGAGCTCTATCTAAATCTGAACCGATTTTCACGAAACTTTGCACACATTATTATAGACGCAATTCAGTACGCTGTGCCAAATTTCGTGCAAATCGAAAGATATTTAGGGACTTTGGCGCACCATTTACCTTAAATCGGACGAAAATATATATGGAAGCTATATCGAAATCTGAACCGATTTTCACGAATCTCACCACACATCATTCTAGACCCAATTCAGTACTCTATGCAAAATTTGGTACAAATCCAAAGATATATAGGGACTTTGGTACACCATTTACCTTAAATCGGGCGAAAATATATATGGGAGCTATATCTAAATCTGAACCGATTTTCATGAAATTTAACACACATCTTTCTAGACTTAACTCAGTACGCTGTGCCAAATTTCGTGCAAATCGAAATATATATAGGTACATTGTTACACCATTTACATAAAATCGGACGAAAATATATATGGGAGCTATATCTAAATCAGGACCTACTTTCACGAAGTTTCACACACATCTTTCTAGACTTAACTCAGTACGCTGTGCCAAATTTCGTGCAAACCCTCACCGTGGATTGTGTTGTGATGTTCGGCTTATAATTGTAGCCTAAAGATCGAATCGAAAAATAGCACAAAAAATAAGTTTTCGGTCCACTTCATCCCAAAATTATTATCTGATCATCACTGAAAATTATAGGCGTTGTCCTCGACCAGGCGTTGTCCTCGACCACAACTGGAACCTCATGGAACATATCAAAGCGATCCGCGCTATATTTCCGCCCTCGAGTGTGGTAATGGTTTATTAAATAATATATGAATGGAGTACAGTTGAAGGACTCCCTCCTTAAGAAAATCGTTTAAAACTTATTAATCTTCCAACACTAGAACGAATACCTTTAATGCTGAGATCTATATTTTTAATAAAACTTTTACGCGGTCAAATTGACTCGACATTTCTAATCGGTGAAATCATGTTTAATGTACCTTCACGTCTTACTCGTAATTATATACCGCTTTATCTTCCTTTAGTGAGATCTAATTATGAGTTATGTAATCCCTTTAGATCACTATGTGAAATATATAACAACCTGTATAATCGCATCTCTTTATCTGATCCAATACATGTAATTAAAAATTCAATTCTAAATTTAGAACTGTAGAGTGCAAGCAGTTGCCAGATGTTTATGTTTTGTGTTTGTCTTTATTGTTGTGTTTAATTAATTAACTTTAAATTGTTTAACCGGCTGATGTTTACTGTAGCCGGTGTTTCCCAACATTACTAACCCTCCATAATCCGGATTATGGGGTGTACATTCTCCCTACGTTATGGGGAGGAGGCCCCCTCGGTCAGCAGGGGCGGGTAAGAGTGACGTGGGAACGATCGAAAAAAAGCACCTGTTAATATTTAATTGTAACTCCCACATCCTAATACATACGACAATATAATTGGTATCAGTTTAAAGGCCAGCCACTCCTTTTGGATATACTATCAACATCTCGGCTCTATGTCCTTCAGGAGTAAATATATACGCTGTAGAATACAAATTTTGTCATTTTATTACACAAAAGTTAGGATCCATTTGACCGATTGACAGATTTTTATCAAAACATGCATACTTATTCTTTGGCCCGATCCCCTTCTCAATGTTAAAATTCGCGATGTAGGGGTCTCTGCAGCCACCAGAAAATCAGACAAAAATAAAGTTTTTGGTCCATTTCATATCCTAAATATTAACCGATCTTTACCAAAAACAATAGGGGTCTTCATTGGCCAGAACCCATCCTACATGCAAAATTTCGTGAAGATTGTTCCATAACTGTGGCCTGTATCGTGTTTACAAATTATAATGGACAGACGGACGGACACACATGTCTAGTTTGACTCAGCTAGTCGAGATATGAAGATCGGTATACTTCGCGGCGTTACAAAAACTTGGGGCTGCACAAAGCTATAATACCCTGACAACATAGAAAAAAATCATTATTGTTAGGCCTTTAAGATAATAGTTTTTATACCCTTCACCACACTGTGGTACAAGGTATTGTAACAGGCAAAAGGAATCGAGATAGACACATGCTTCCTTTTGAGAATATGCATAGAATCACTTTCTGAGTCGATTTATGAATGCCTGTCAGTCCGTCCGTCCGTCCGTCTGTAGATGTTAAATTGTAAACAAAGTACAGGTCGCATTTATGATCCGATTTGGATGAAATTTGGCACAAGTCACTTATTTGGCCCAAGGACGAAACATATTGAAATTCAAGAAAATCGGTTGAGAATTAGATATAGCTCCCATATATATTTTCGTCCGATTTAAGGTAAATGGGGTACAAAAGTTCCTATATATCTTTCGATTTGCACGAAATCTGGCATAGAGTATTGAATTAGGTCCACAATAATGTGTATCAAGTTTCGAGAAAATCGGGTCACATTTAGATATAGCTCCCATATATATTTTCGTGCGATTTAATGTAAATGGTGTACCAAAGTCCCTATGTATCCTTCGATTTGCACGAAATTTGGCACAGAGTAATGAATTAAGTGTAGAATGATGTGTGTTAAGTTTCATGGAAATCGGTTCAGAATTAGATATAGCTCCCATATATATTTTCGTCCGATTTAAACTAAATGGGGTACCAAAGTTCCTACATATCTTTCGATTTGCACGAAATTTGGTATAGTCTACTGAATTAGGTCTAGAATGATGTGTGTTAAGTTTCATGGAAATCGGTTCAGATTTAGATATAGCTCCCATATATATTTTCGTCCGATTTTAGGTAAATGGTTCACCAAAGTCCCTGAAAATCATTTGATTTGCACGAATTTTGATATAGCGTATTGAATTAAGTCTAGAATGATGTGTACACCTCCTATATATATCTTCGTCCGATTTTAAGTAAATTGTGCATTAAAGATCCACAGCTAGGTCGATTGACACAACGTATTGAAATTAATATAAATTAATCTCTGGCAAGATTGCTTCAAATCGGAATAGTAGAATATACCCAAAAAGGTGAAGGGTATCATATAGTCGGCCCAGTCCGACTTTACTACTTTCCTTACTGGTTAATATTGTTGGTCTTCTGAAAAAAATATTTTTTAAAAATATCCTTGATTATTCTTCGGCATTCCCCAACAACATCCTGTAAACAGCGGGTTACACCCATGACTTGCAAGACGAACAAAATTAAACAACAATCCTTAACACAATTACATTTACCACTAAATAATTGATATCTTACTCAATGACGTTGCTATATTTGTATTCCTCAAAAAAAAAGAAAGAAAATATCCTTGTTAATTTACTTCACCCCCTTTCCGTTCGAGGAACAAAAAGTGGGTAAGGCTATTATTTAGAAATTCATTTAATGTTTCAATTTTATTTTCAAACTATTTGTTATTGTCATGTTCTGGCAACTTCTCCCCATCCGTTCGTATAACGTGCCGATGTTATTGTTATTTTTATTTCTTTCATTACGTTTATGTCACACTGCACAAACAGAAACAACCCAAAAGAAACAACCCAAAACTATTTAATGGTCTTATTACGAGACAATTAAATTTCTTACTTTTTCGTTCGATTCGTTTTTTTTTTCTTCTTCTTCGAGTCATGAACATGCAATG